CATATACTCTGCCTGTCAGGCCAGGTGGTGGCTAAGGCAGGTGGCAGCTAAGGCAGGTGGCAGGTTGAATGTGGTTGAAGAAAAAAGAGAAATGTGGCATTTCCTGATATACCATCATTTCTAAACCCTCTGCTTATACTTCAGATGACCTTCTCTTCCACTGGCTCTCCTTGAATTTGAATATTAAAGTCATTTTTCTTTCTGGCCACAGTGACATACAGCCGGAGGTAAAAGCTGGAGATCCCTGGAGCAAGATGGATAAGCACACCTGTGGCCTGCTTCTCAGCATCGCACCCCGCTGTGGTTGGCTGCAAGGAAGCAATGCCTTCCTCCAAATATATCTGCTGGAGAACAGCCCAGATTTAATTTACTACTACACTCTGGGTGCAGGATCGGTTAATATCTTCCAATTACCTGCTTCATACAACCATAGCTATTTTAAGCAGAAGTCACTTAAGGATTCCTCATCATAGAAAACCTTCCCATTTCCAGAAAATTCTGGTCAAAGAAAAAGTCACAGAGACCTTGAGCTTGGGCTCAACCCTAAGCTTGGATTTGGTAGCTTTGTAGCCAAGAACTGCAGCACTTTGGGGTTCTTCTGGGTAGAAAGTAAACATGCGCTTTGGACAGAGGATTAGCTTATTTGGCAAAAGCTGCTGCAATGGATCTTTAGTTATGCACATGTAAAGGGGAGGCTATAATTAGTAAAGCAGAGGTTTGAAATATTAAAACTGCAATAGTGGCAACTGAGAAAGAAAGAGGTTGTAGCCAGATCCTTGTTAATGTTTGCCTGAAAGAAAGGTTTCTGATGGCCCTGGCCGGTTTGGCTCAGCGGTTAGAGCGTCGGCCAGTGGACAAGAGTTGTGGGTTCAATTCTGGTCAGGGGCACGTACCTCGGTTTCAGTTTGGTCCTGGCTGAGTAGGGGTCGTGCAGGAGGCAGCCAATGGATGTGTCTCTCTCACACTGATGTTTTTCTCTCTGTCTCTCTCTTTCTCCCTCGCTCCCTCCCACTCTGTCTGAAGATAAATAGAAACATATCCTCCGGTAAGGATTTAAAAAACACAAACAAAAAACAAAGGTTTCTGATCTATGATGGATTTGGCTGCCCTTTGTCCACAGCTTCTAGATTCAAGTTCTAGAGGCCATCTATTGCCTTTTCAAAGCCAGCCATGAACTGTCCCTCTCACCTTCAAATCTCTGACTGCTCTTGTTCTTGTATCTCAAAGGCTGGTCCTCGGGACAGCAACACATGCATTTCCTGGACACTTGTTTGATATGACAAATGCCCAGGCCCCTCTGCAGACCTATAGAATCAGAAAACCTGGAGTGGGCCCAGCACTCTGTATTTGAACATGCCTTCCAAGGTCACCTTAAAGGCCACACAGGAGATCTTGTTAAAACTATTTCCAACGGCAGAGCAGGAGTGAAGGTACTTGGGGAAGGACCTGAGATCAGAACATTGCTTCACCCTAGAGAAAAGGCCTTAAAAAATTGCCCAGCCAGTGTGGCTCAGTGGTTGAGCATCAGTCCCATGGACTGAGAGGTCCCAGTTTGATTCCTGGGCAGGGCACATGCCTGGGTTGGGAGCTCAATTCCCACTAGGGGGCATGCAGGAGGCAGCCAATTGATGTTTCTCATCAATGTTTCTATCTCTCTCTCTTCCTCTCTAAAAAAATAAATAAATAAAACATATTTTTAATTGAAAAAAATTATGTTTTAAATAAATTATTTTTTAATTGAAAAAATTTAGTTTTTTTAAATTGAAAAAAAAATTATTTTTTAAATGAACTGAAGCCCACAGCACCTACTACTCCACAGACATCCTGTGCATTGGTTAAGATACGACTGACCCTGAGCATCAGTCATGTTCCCGTATTCATCATGTGATTGTAGTAAGCAAGAAGCCAAGGGAAGAGAGCTAAACTAAAGGGCACAGACAGTGGGTGTTTGGGAAGGGGTAACAGGAGGCAGGTAACTGGCCATCGAGAACTGTGGTACAACCAGGAGCGAGCAGAAACAGAACCTTTGGGGTCAGCTCCTAAGCTCTGAGAATGGCCCTAGCTGATTGCCAGACTGGGTTTCACTACTATCAGTTCCTTCTTTCATCTCCAAGTCTCTGAGAACTGTTGCTTCCACAAGTTAATGAATCCTGGAACTCTCTAGGTTCCCCTTAATTCATGAGTGGTATGAGGCCCCATGTTCACTGGCTTTCTTGGAGAAGGAGCTCACCCAGGTTTTGGCTTCTGAGTCTACACCACCATTTCCTTGGGCTCTGAAAAGTGGAATCTGTAACCACTGCAATCCTGCAGTCCTGCCTTTATCTCTGGAATCTTGCCAAGTTGTAAGGTAGCTCTTCAAATGGAAGCAGTTAGAAGCACACACAGCAAGCTTTCATCTAAAGCACAAATGGCTTCTCGGCTGTGTTTGTGTTGTGGCAAATGGCTTTGCCTCTTGCAAAGGCTTCCAGGGGACCACGAAAGCAAAGTACAGTATAGGAAAACTTAAAGCTTTATTTTTCATTTTGAACGCTGCTTATATAACCACATTCTGGCATAAAGAAAAGAGAATAGATCATGCAGCCCAAACCGGGATGGACAACCAATAGACAGGCCCTAAGCCTAATCCTTACCTGGCAAATTTCAAAAAAGCTAGCTGCTCTTGCTAGGCCCCCTAGTGGTGTGAATCCATAGCCTTTTCAACTTGGAGGGTCTCATCCATAAGGAGAGTTCTAGAAATTAGCCGCCCTTTCTCCATTGGACTTGGGGTTACCTAGTATTATAACTGCAACTGCCAGGGAAATAAAAAGGAGGGTTGTTAGACCTCAAATGTTGGGGTGCTCTGAGACTAAGAAGAACAGCCTTATTGAACAGATCCTCAGAGGCTTTTGAAGAACTATTCTCGGTGGGAAACTTCTCTAAGGCGCACCACCAGGAGCCAGAAATGTGAGAGTGACTGTTAACCCCTGCTCATAGGCACAGCTCATAGGCACAGCTCTTCAGAACCACACCAGTGAACGGAAAGCCACTCAAAGAATGATCTCATCCTGTTAACCCAACAAGGAGTTTCCAGATTTTCACAGGACACTGATGCCATGCACAGGAGAGATGAGAGGGACTACTTAAGTTGTCAAGTTCACAGGGAATGCTGTGGTTGCCAAGGTAGGAGCCTGATTTAGGCTCTAGGATCGAGCTGCCTAGTCCAGGGAACCAAGCTCTCCTGTCTGCAAATCCCAAGTCAGCACCAGGCACCATTCGGAATTACCGAAGCCCCTGGAAGAGTGGACAGCTGAAAACCTAGAGACTCATAAAGAACATTCCCATGACATTTCCCTTTGAGACTTGGTAGGAAGTCTATTTAGCTTGAGAAAGTAAAGCAAAGAATGTACAGTACGTTTGAAGGAACATGGGACTAGATGCTTTTGTCCTTCCCTCCCCTCAATGAACCAACACCAAATCATTCCCTATATTCTTGGAAACAAACAAGCAATTCATGAATTCTAAGAAACATGTGCCTTTCACATTTTAAACTCTTCAACTTTATCAAAGAGTGAATGGCATTGTTGAATTGCTCCCTGACTTCTCAGAGCAAGCCAATTTGGTTGGATTCCTGGAAGTAGTGACTGGACAACCACCAACCCTCCCAATTCCAGGCAACAAATTAAAGACCATCTGAGGAAGGAATAGGAGACTGGGTGTCACTGGGAAAAAAATCTGTTGACAATTTCTACGAAGATCATAAAGTATGCAGAATGGTCTTTAGCAGCTTGAGAGAAAACCTTAGAGGCAGTAATGGAGTTCTCATTCAAGAAAAGCAGCCTTGCCCTGGACAGTTTGGTTCAGCGGTTAGAGCATCAGCCTGTGGACCAAAGGGTCTCGGGTTCAATTCTGGTCAAGGGCATGCACCTGGGTTGCAGGTTTGATTCCCCAGCCCTGGTTGGGCTCATGCAGGAGGCAACCAATCAATAAGTCTCTCTTGCATTGATGTTTTTCTCCCTCCCTTCCATTCTATCAAAAAATCAATGTAAAAATATCCTCAGGTGAGGATTTTTTAAAAAGCGGTCTTGCTGATTCTTTTCATTGGCACCACAAAGTGTTCTGTGGAAAACCAGAAGCAAAATGTACTGCATTGAAAAGTGAGTAATATGAATCAAGCTCTGTTATATGTACAAAAATTTGAGGAATACCTTAACTAAGTGGTTGGCTTACATTGCACGTTTTTACAGGCACAAAAGTATTATATGATTCAAATCTATGCCAAAGTCTGAAAGTTTGCTCAAAAAACATAAAATATAAGGGTTTGCCGGTCCAGCTGGTGTGGCTGAGCTTTGACCCATGCAACAAGAGGTCGCAGGTTCAATTTCTGGTCAGGGCACATGCCCAGATTGTGGGCCCAATCCCAGTGGGGAGCATGCAGGAGGCAGCCAATCAATGTTCGCTCTCATTGATGTTTCTATCTCCCTCTCCCTCTCACTTCCTCTCTCTGTAAAGTCATAAAGGAAAAACAAAACTTAAGGGTTTGCCAAACTTCTGTAGAGGACCACATAGTCAATAGTTGAGCCCTTGTATGCCATACAATGGCTGTTGCAGTCTCATCTTTGCCAAGATTGCAGAAAAGTAGCCACAGATAATATGTAAATGTATGGGTGTGGCTGCGGGCCAGATTTGGCCTACAGGCCAATTTGTCAACATATTATCAAATTGCTAAAACTTTGTCTTTGTTTTGTTTTGTTTTATGTTAATTAATTAATTTATTTTTGTTACAGATGTTTCTCCTTTTTCCCCCACTGATTCCTCCCTCGCCCTCCCTCCCCGCCCCTTCCCCAGTCCTGTTGTCCATGTCCATTGTTCATGCACACATGCATATAAGTTCTGTGGTTTGTGTAATGCATGTTAGTGTAGTGGTAAATAGAATGTAAGAGGGTAGGAAATTTCAAATACAAAAACATAATGAATAACTTGCATATCATTCTGCTTCACTTTTTTATTTTTCCCATCCTTTTTTACATCTGTTGTTCTTTTTGAGGATGCAGGAGGCGGGGTCCCCGAAGAATGGGAAACTGGCAACAGGGGAAGGCATTGGAGGGCGGGGGTCGGAACATCCCCAACCCAGGAGGAATAGACACAGCAGGAAATGGGTTGAAACCTGCAAGTCCAGGAAGTCTGAGGGTCTGAGCACTAGGGGATAAAGATGAGCCTGTAATACTAGGAGGAAAGGTGATAGCCCTTGGCCACATTTCCACAGGGAGCCCTGGTCCTCCCGATGGAAAAGGAACAGGCACGGACCCTTCTCTGCCGACCATTCTCCAATTTTCTGAAGACTGCTCCATCATTCTTCCCCATCTAAGGTTGGAGCTAGGGGGAGAGCCTATTATTTGGGGGGCTCTGAGTGGAAAGAACCCTTGACCTTCTAGCAAAGACGCATGGAACCTTGCATTACTGTCACCTCTCTCGGCATCCCCACTGCCGAACTTCATCCCCCCTTTCATCAGTGAGGAAGGGCCACCAGAAAATTCTTGGCGCACATTAAGGGCATTGTGTCCCATCTGCCTCTGGCCTGAGCTATTGGCTTGTGCTGTCTCTAGGATCTCTTTCGCAACAGACGCCACTGGCTCTAAGGGGACTTTGGGAGCCATCGAACTGTCCAGGGCAGCGGAGGATCTTCTCTTCCCCGGGGACGGCGGTTGCTCGATGGCCAGATCCAGATCGGTTCGCAAACTGAAGGGACGTCTCAGAGGAGCACGAGGTTGGCCCCAGAACTCTGCCTCATCTTTCAGCAGGAATTTCAGGTACCGGACAGGCACTTCAGGGCTTGGCCGCGGGGTCCCATTGTTCTCGGCAGCTACTGCTTTGGGTGAAGGGCTTGGCCCTTTAAGAACATTGTCCATATCAGCCATAGAGAAAGTTCATCAGGAACGCCTTCTGGGTGCTGGAGAAACCGGCTAAACGCCCACACAGGCCAACTCAGTCTGGAGCGATAACCGTTGCTTCTGCCTTAGAGCAGCTTGGCCACTGAATGAAGCCAGGGACCAACTGCTTCGTTCTAGATTTGGAGTTCTCTCGCTGAGGTGACCAGTTGCTAGGAAACAGAGTGACAAAACAATGGGGGAAGGGGAGGGGATAAATCTGTGGCACTCCTTTGAAGCTAAATGTAGGATTTCTATTTGCAAGGTAACAGATGGATGGTAAAGACATTCAGTCCATTAACCTGGTTGCGGGCCAGTGGGAAAGACAAATCATTTCAAGATTTGAGAAGAATTACAGAGGCATGGTCCTTTGTTAAGACTTATTTCTGATATTTTAGTTAGGAAAGGTAGTTGTCAAGTCTCTACCTTGAGTTTGGAAATACAGTAAGCAGAGTTCCATGACCAATTTCACTGACCCTTTCAGTTTGGGGAATGCACACAGTTACATTAGTGGGGGAATAAACTGCTTTTTAATCTGAGTCTCTCTTGTGAAGATGAAACAAAATAGCACTATAAAAATCCATCTCATCATCATATTGGCTTTTATTGTTTTAGCCGTTTGATATGCAATTATTTCCTTCATCCTACCTTCTAGTTTATCAGTTGTGTGTGTATTATTTATGCATATATGAATATATATAAGTATATACAAGTATATATAAGTATACATATATCTATATAAATATACATAAATATATATATATTTTTTTCTGTAACAGAGCTCTGGAAACTTCTCTCCTAATTTTTTTTTTTTTAATCCTCATCCGAGGACATTTTTCCATTTTTTGTACAGATAGAGTAGGAGGGAGAGAGAGGAAGAGAGAGAGAGGGAAACATCGATGTGAAAGGGACACATCGAGTGGCTGCCACCCGCACGACCAACCAGGGCCGGGGACAAACTGCAACCGAGATACATGCCCTTAGCGGGAACCGAACCCGGGTCTCTCCGGACTGCAGGCCGACGCTCTAACCGCTGAGCCAAACCGGCCAGGGCTGGAAACTTCTCTACAAGTGGAAGCACAGACTAAAAGGCAAATCAGGTATCAAAATGTACAAATATAAGCTCAGATTTTGCCTTGCAAAGTTTTTTAATAAAGCACTTTGTTTTTCCCGTCAAAATTCCATTCCCCTCTACCACTTTAAGAAAGAATACTTTCCCAGCTTTTATTTTCTGCTGCTGATCCACAGTTTAATTGCTCTGAATTTACAAAGCAATCTAAGATTTCTAATCTTACTCTAGGCTAAAGCCATAGTTTAGCCCACTTTCTAAAATTTAACTAAGATCAGAGCTGTGTAGACGACCTTAAAGACCTTAGAATATCTTTCCTTATTCCCAATATCATAATATGCTTTTATATTTCCACAGTTTATATATAATTTATTTTCTAAAAGATAACACTCTCCAACACCATGCATTTCAATTTATAGATGTGTGGAATGTGTGTGTGTATGTGTGTGTACTCATGTATGTGTGCAAAGGGAAGTACAAGATGCTAATGCAAAGGAAAGGTCACTGCTGCGAAACAACACAACTCATAGAAATGATCGGGGTGGCTGGTCCCTGTCCACAGACTGTTGAGTTGTTGATATTTTTAATCTCACTGAAAGATGAAAGCGGCATGTTCCCAATGCTTCTTTCAGAGGAATATGTTCACTTGCCCAGCATGTTCACTATTGAGAAATCTCATGATTCCTCAGCTTTAATTTCAATTTTTCTTATTACAATTTACATACAATATTATTTTGTATTAGTTTCAGGTGTACAGCACAGTGGTCAGACGATCATACCCTTCATGAGATGTTCCCCCGATATACCCAGTACCCACCTGGAACCTTCATAGTAACTGCAACATTAGTGACTAGATTCCCTGTACTTGACATCCCTGTGACTATTTTGTGACCAATTTGTGCTTCTTTATCTCTTCACCTTCCTCACCCAGTCCCCAACACCCCTCTCCTCCGGCAAGCATCAGTCTGTTCTCTGTGCCCATGAGTCTGTTTCACTTTTGTCTGTGTGTAGTTTGCACTTTAAATTCCACATATGAGTGAAATCATATGGTATTTGTCATTCTCTGACTGGTTTATTTAACTGAGCATAATGCCCTCTAGGTCCATTCATGCTATCACAAATGGTAAGATTTCATTACTTTCTACGGCCAGGTAATATTCTATTGTATATGTGGACCACCACTTTTTTACCCATTCATCTAATGATGAGCACTTGGGTTGTTTCTATATCTTGGCCATTTTAAATAACACTGTAATGAACATAGGGGTGCACATATTCTTTTGAATTAGTGTTTTGGGATTCTTGGGATATATATCCAGAAGTGGAATCACTGATTCCTAAGGTAGCTCCATTTTTAATTTTTTGAGGACACTCAATTATTGTCCACAGTGGCTGCACCAATCTGCATTCCCACTAACAGTGTGCAAGGGTTCCCTTATCTACACATCATCCCCAACCCTTATTGTTTGTTGATTTATTGATAGCCATTCTGACAGATATGAAAGATCTCATTGTTTTAATTTGCATTTCTCTGATGATTAGTGACATGATGTTGAGCATCTTTTCATGTCTATTGACTATCTGTATGTCCTAGTGAAGAAAGGTCTATTCAGATCCTCTGCCCATTTTTTAATTGGATTGCTTTTTTTTGGGGGGGGGGGGGGCGTTGATATGTGTATAAGTTCTTTATAGATTTTCTTTTTTTTTAAGAGAAATGTCGATGTGAGAGAGAAACATTGATCGGCTGCTTCCTGTACGACCCCTATTAGAGATCGAGCCCGCAACCCAGGCATATGCCCTGAGCTGGAATTGAACCAGGACTTCTCAGTCTGTGGGACTATGCTCAGTCCACTGAGTCACACTGGCAGGATATAAGTTCTTTATAAATTTTAGATATTAACCCCTTATCAGATGTACCATTGGCAAGTATGTTCTCCCCTGCTGTGGGTTGTCTTTTCATCTTGTAAATGGTTTCCTTTGTTGTGCAAAACCTTTGTAGTTTGATGTACTCCTATTTCTTTACTTTTTCTTTTGCTTCCTTTCCCAGAGGAGATATATCTGAAAAAAGTTTTAATAAGAGAAATGCCCAAGATTTTACTGCCTATGTTTTTCCTTCTAGAAGTTTTATGGTTTTAAGTCTTACATTGAAGTATTTAATCCATTTTGAGTTTATTCTTATATGTGGTATATGAAGGTGGTCTAGTTTCTTTTTCTTTCTTTCTTTCTTTCTTTCTTTCTTTCTTTCTTTCTTTCTTTCTTCCTTCCTTCCTTCTTTCTTTCTTTCTTTCTTTCTTTCTTTCTTTCTTTCTTTCCTTTTTTCATGGATCTGTCCAATATTCCCTACACCATCTATTGAATAATTGCCTTTACCCCATTGTATGTTCTTGCCTTCTTTGTCAAATATTAGTTGGTCATATAGGCGTAGGTTTATTTCTGAGCTCTCTATTCTGTTCCATTGATCTAGATGTCTGTTTTTATGCCAGTACTATGCTGTTTTGATTACTATGGCCTTTTTTTATAGCTTGATGTCAAGTAGCATGATACCTCCAACCTTGTTCTTTCTCAAGATTGCTGTGGCTATTGGGGTCTTGTGTAGTTTTATATAAATTTTTAGATGATTTGATCTAGTTCTGTAAAATACACCATTGGTATTTTGATATAAATTGAATTGAATCTATAGATTACTTTGTGGGTATGGACATTTTAATGATGTTAATTCTTCCTATTCAAGAACATGGTGCATGGTTCCATTTATTTATATCATCTTCAATTTGTTCCTTCAGTGTCTTATAATTTTCCCAGTTCAGGTCTTTTACCTCCTTCATTAAATTTATTCATAGGTGTGTTTTTTTTGTTTGATGCAATTTTTAAATGGGATTGTTTTCTTACTTTCCCTTTCTGACAGATCATTATTGGTGTATAAAAATGTAACTGATTTCTGAGGATTTATTTTGTATCTTGCTACATTGCTTAACTCATTTATCAGTTCTAGTAGTTTTTTGGTGGAATCTTTAAGGTTCTTTATATATAGCAGCATGCCATCTGTAACTACTGACAGTTTTACTTCTTCCTTTCCAAACTAGTTGCCTTTTATTTCTTCTTCTCTGACTTCTGTGAAAGTGGTGATCACTACATTGTTAGTGAGCTTAAGAGAAATGCTTGAGTATTTCCCCTTTGAGTATGATGTTAGCTATGTGTTTGTCATATATGACCATTGTTCTGTTGAGGTATGGTCCCCTCTATTTCCACATTCCTAAGAGTTTTCATCATAAATAGATGCTGGATTTTTTTTTTCTAATGCTTTTTCTGTATCTATTGATATAATAATATGATTATTATCCTTCGATTTGCATATGATGTGTAACATGTTAATTGATTTGTGAATATTGTACTAACCTTTTATCCCAGGAATAAATCACACTTGATCACAGCATATGTGTATTGCTGGATTTGGTTTGCTAATATTTTGTTGAGGATTTTAGCATCTATGTGCATCAGAAATATTTGTGGTGGGGCTAGGTCTCAGGGAGTTGTCAGGGTGAGGCCAGCAGAGTTCATCAGGCTACAGTGGACCCAAATTCGGTCCTGTGGAGAGAGGGCTCTGCACAGGAAAAATGGTGCCAGAGTGCAAGGAAAAATGGCCTTTGAGCAAAAAATGACCCAACTCATTCTCTGCTATCCTTTCTCTGCTACCTCCTAAGTTTGCCCAGACCTCCTCGAGATCCATCCAAGAAAGGCAGCAGCTAGCCAATTCCTCTTCAGGGCTGGGGCTGGGCCGGAAGGGACCACAGGAAGTCCAAAATATGGGGCTGGTGTATTTCCTATGGGGTGCGAAATACAGATTGGAAGTGAAGGGGAATAATGGTTCTTACCTTAGAACTACATAACTCACCTTTTCTCTGTTCATCTCTGA